TCTTGTGATTATTCTTCCTGGTGGAGCAGGGAGTGTGCCTGGGTCTCCAAGATATGGTGGGAGGCGTGAGTCTCCCACCATACCTTGCCTGGGAGAAGGCAGATGCTCTTCCCAGTGGTCCATTTAATGACTGCAACTAGAAAAACAAGGATTGCAGTCATGATGATCACATGATATGTTGCTTAACAATTGTTTTGTTCAATTATCATGATTCCAAGCCCAGTTGTTCTGGGATTGTATTCTTTATCCCTGTATCCTTGGGACTTTTTGATAACACCTTCATTCACATAATATTCTACTTTGAGTTTGCTTTCTGAGATTAGTCAAATACCGCAAGATACGTTGCTTGTTCTGACTGTTGAATGCATTATTTTGGTTACTTTGCAATAATTCCCCATCACTAACTTTTAGGTTTTCACATAAAACCATTCTAAACCATCTGGGGTGCAAAGGAACATCTGATGCTCATTAAATAGATATTGTCTTACATAATCATTTTTTAAAAAAGCTTGTAACACCTGATTTCAGTCATTAAGTCATAAGCACATATTAAATTATATTACGTAATGATATCAGGATTTTTATCTACTTATAATTCTTTCTTATTAAGTTAGAAGCTCATCATTGGTTTCATTAGAAGTCTCTTTAGATAGGATCTGTATATTTCTTGAGACTTAAAATCTTTGTCCAGGTGTTTACAACTTGCATGAATTATTCCTTGATCATATTTTGTTCTGCATTTGTTGCAAATTAATTAAAAACAATTATTTCATTAAATTCTATGCTTCCAAGACTTAAGAATGTCTCTGATTTTTAAGATTCTTACCTGTTGATTGTTCTTACAGATTAACAGAATGGGAAGGGACTTTGTAGGTCATCCAGTCTAACCCCCTTATTTTGCTCCAGGGAGACAACATACTTCTCTGGATTGACTGTCTGGTCTATAGATGGCTGATTCTGTTTCCTTGAGAATTGAATCTCCTATCACCAACACTTGCCTTTCTTTCCTAGGGAGTTTTGGGGTATTTTTCTATATATCACAGAAGCATTTGATGGTGTTACATTTTTAGGGACATTTACTGATACTTTTTTTCTACGTGACTGCATGTTTTCTTCCAGGGAGAGTCCATGAAATCGATTGCTTAGCAATAGTTGGGCTGCATCAGAATGGGTTGGGTTGGGCAGGGGTTTTGTACTAAGTGTCAGGGTTCCAAGTAACACTCCCAACGAAAGAAGACTCCGAGGCTAGAAGTTCCTCAAAGTTCCATTTTATTAAAGATGTCATATTGGCACATCTGGGAAAACCCGAATCTGAAAGCTTCCAGGTTTTCCCCACCCAAAAGAAAATCCAAGTCCCTTCCCCTGCACCCACATGTCTATCACATGGTCCAATCAATACACCGTCCCAACTGGAGATGCCTCCCAGTCACGCCACTCCAGGTGCAGGCAGAATGTCCTTGAGTCCCAGAGAAAATAATGTTATTATGGCTAGATATCTCTACAACTCCATGCAATCCCCCCTCCCAGTTTCCCACAGCACTAAGCGTGGCAGCCTTGAAGATCCAAAGAAAAAGATGGCCTCCAGGACTCACACTAGCTTTGTGTTTTTTTTCTGTGAGTGACATGTTTACATCTGTCTTTTTCTTCCTCTAAGGGGTCAATTCTTTTAGAAGTTGTTTGATCATTGTTATGTTCAATTTGGGCATATTTTTCTTGCAGGCTTTGGAGTTTCTGATTTTGTAGATTGAGTTTCAGAGTGGTTAGAGTTTCTTCTAGTCCAGGGGTGTCAAGCTCAAGGCCTGGAGGCCAGATCCAGCCTGCAGGGTGGTTAGATATGGCCCATGGACCTGCCCTGGAAAAAGCAAAGGACCAGCCCACGGTACTTCTGACAGTGAAAATAGAGCAAAGGACCAGCTCCATTTTTGCTGGTAGAGGGCTACAGGAGACCATCATGGCCCAAAACGGAACCCGGGAGGGCCGTCTTGGCTGAAAACGGAGCCTGAATGAGTGACATCAAGTTGGCCACATCCATCCTGGCCATGCACCCCCCCCAGTCCCGCCCTGAGGTCAAACACAACCCTGATGCAGCCTTCAATGAAATTGAGTTTGGCACCCCTGCTCTAGACCCTTTACTTTTTCATCTAGCAGCTTGATTAGTTTACATTTGGTACATATATAGTTTGGGTATTCTATGGGCATAAGTGTATATGTGGAACATGTTCTGCAGATCACAATAGTATCAGTTTCTTTTTCCATGAGTGAATTTTTAAAAAATTGAAAATGAAAGCGTAGAAGGTTTTACCATAGATATTTAATAGGGAAAAATGTCCAGTTTAGAATTTTGATAGTCTAACAGATCATTTAAAATTTGTGGGGAAAAGTCTAGCTAAAAATGTAAAGTTCTAAGAGTTTAAAAATGTATAGTTTAAGGATTTAAAGTTATATAGTTCAAAATTGTCTAGTTTAAATTTTAAAGTTTTAGCAGATCATTTAAATTATCCAATTTTAAAATTTTCAGTGTTGAGTGGGCTTAAGTGCAATGTTCATTCTTAACATATCCTTGGAATGTTCTATACTATAATTATCCCTTTCCTCCCTTCTCTTTTATGATCCTTTCCCTCTCTGCCTTAATTAATCGGGTGGGCTTAATTTACCTCTTTCTTCTCTGCTGTACTTGCAATTGTCTATTTGCCTTTGATTTTTTTTTTTTGCCTTGTGTCCTATGTTATCTTTTTATCCTCTCTTCCTACTTGCTTTTCTCCTGCCACTCCTGGGTATTCAGTTCTCCCTGCTTTTCTCAGTTCATGGAGCCCCCCCCCCCCACATCTGTTGGTCTGCTGGGCTGCTTTGTTGCCATTCTCAGTCACCAGTTCACTGATCCCCTTTGCTGAAATGCTCCACTGACAGCCTCCGGTTCCACCAATGCTCTCCTGTTGCTTTCCATGCTCCTTCCTGCATTGCTCTCAGGATCTGCTTTGTTGTGCTGTTTCTTGCTGCTGGCTCTCCTTTCGGTTGCTTTGCCTCTGCTCTTGGCTCCTTGGCCATGTGGCTCCAGTTTGCACTACTTCTTGCAGCAAACAGGACTGCCTTGAAGGCCTACAGTGAGCTCGTTTCTTATCTCCTCTCTACAGCCAGTTCTCCTCCTCCTCCCTGCTCCTCTCTCTCACTGGCTTGCCTCTCTGACGGTCATTGCTTTGTCCTCAGTCAGCTCGCCTCTCTGCCCCACAGATGATTTTCCTCCCTGCTTCAAAGCTGGGCCCCACTTGCTCACCGGCTCTCCTCCTTGTTCTCCTTGTTCTCATACAGAAGGTTGCTAAAATCTGGAAATATATGTATTAAGGCTGCAAACAATTTGCCGCATCTCAATGTATATAAAGGTAAAGTATTTATTTATTTATTAGGTTTAGATTGTGCTTTTAACTGAGAAGATCAAAGCTCCTCAGCTTTATACATTTATTAAATTTATATGCCACCCATCTTGCAGTTCAGGGTGACCCTGAGTGGTATAGTGCTTTCTCTTTCTCTAAAGTTTCCATAGGCACATAGCACATAGAATAATAAGATTGGAAGGAACTTGGACATCTTCTAGTCCAACCCTCCTTTTGAGCAAGAAACCTTATACCATTCCAAACAAATGGTTGTCCAATCTTTTCTTGGAAACCTCCAGTGATGGAGTACCACAATTTCTGGAGTCAAGCCATTCCATAATGCCTGATTAAAAAATAGTGAAGATACCAGAATGGAATTATTTGAATTTCAGGCAAGTTAAATTTACATAGGCTGGCAGAAACCCCACTTACCTTCCTCACATTGGTATCAATGTCTTAATTATATTCAAAACTTCCAACATTCTGGTTTAAATCTTCATTACACAATACAGATATCTAAAACAAATAAGTAAACCAGTATAGCCAGTGCCAATACTTAACTTAATAATTTAAACACATAGTTTCCTGGGATTACAAGATTCCATGTGAGATTGGAAAAGATGGTGATGGATATGTATCTATATCCATTCCAAAGCATTTAAAAAAAACATTGCATACGAAGAACAGGCATATTCTTGGTTTAGAGCATCTATATCTATTCTACCCAAGTTGTGGTGCTTTCTGTCTTCCCAAAGCTTTGCCAGATAAGCTTAGTGATTGCATGGGTTCTATACTTCCAAGACTTAAGAATGTCTCTGAGTTCTGCTGGCACTAAAAAAAACCCTGCAATTTTCCAAATATTATTGAATCACCACTCTCAGCAGCACCAGCCACCATGGTGGGCAATTTTTGGACTATCTCCACTATTGTCCAGTGTGCTACTCCAAGAGTGTCAAATAAAATGTCTAACCCTTTGTTCTGTCCCCGTCTCACACACGCACACAAACAGACAGCCGGGGGTTAAATAAACTGGCAGACAACCAATTCTTTCGATAAGAGGATTGGCAGCAACCCAGCAGCTGCTTGCCAAGAACTTTACTCATAAACAAGATACACACAGTTCAAGAATTGTCAAGTCCAGTCCGTAATTAAATCCAAGGCAGATAATGTTGTTTCCAAAGATGCAATGTGACTTGATAGTAGTTATTTTTGTCCATCACAGAGTCTGAATGGCCACCTCACCCCCTTATATCCCCTGTGGGGTGTGGTCCAGTGACTCAACTTAATCTCTGGCACGCCTCCTTTTCTGTTGCATGCGCTTGTCTCTCCGACGCTGGCATGGATCCAGCCAAGACTTATCTCCTTCACTGTCCGACTGTGAGGAGATATCTGGCTCCTGGCCAATCTCTTCTCCTACGGGAGACACCTGAGGCATTGCCAGAGAGGAGACTCCTGGAGAGGGAGGCCTGGCCAACTCCTCTCCTTCATGTTTGGAGCCTTCTGCCTCCAATAAGTCGGCCTCAGGGGTCAGAGCCACAACACCCTTGTACAGATCCCCACACCATGGTTCAGCATGGGTTAACTCACTCAAACCCATCATCCCCACAACCCCACCTTACCTTTGACTCCTCCCTCAAGGTATAAGAGTCCATCCACAATCCAGTCGAATATCTGTAAGGCATAGATGTAAGGTCAGATACATATATGCTTAGGCCTATATCATACCTTCACTTACGAATAAATAAGCTATACCAACTATTGTGTTGTACTGAGAGTTATTGGGCTAGATCCTTCGATCTAACAAATTGGTAGCAGAGGGTGGTTGCCCATAACTCCAAATCATGTCTGAGTCAACTGAGCACTCAGCAGAAAAAACCAGAATAAATACTAGAGTCTTTGCAAGACAGATGGCAGCGCAGCTATCACCCACCAGAGCCATTCCAAAAACCATTCCGGCTGGAAGCAAGCGGACACCCGATCCATGCACCCCACCCAAATGTGAGGAACAACGGGAAGAAGAAAAGAACAACTCCAAAGCCACAGCACAAGGAAACGATGACCTCAGGCTAGCCATATTAAAAATACTAGGATTGCCTGCCACCAGCAAGGACCTCATCGCGGACCTCCAGAGCCTACTCAAAAGCCATGGAGCAGCGACCGAAGGGCAAGGACCAATCCATGTGGACACCAGACCGGCAAGGGAGACGCCATCTTACCCTAATACACCAGAGGTAGCAGAATCCAATTTCGCGCCCTTTTCCCGTTGGCCATCTTTAAATGACCAGCCACAAAAATGGCCGACCAACAACCAATGAGAGACCTAGATTCAGATTCCTCGGCGCAAACTAGCCCTAACCTAAAAACAGACAAGTGATTCCCCGAAAATAATAATGAAAAACAAAACCAAGATACCAAGAGCTACTGAGCTCGAAATCGAGAGAGCCATAGAGACTCTCACAGCAGCGTTCGGCTCCGCTTTCAAGCCGCCAGCATCCCTCCCGAACGTACAAAAGACATTCAAGGACTGAGAAAATGTCCAAACACCTACCACCACTGAAGCGCCAACTGCAGCCCCGACACCAGTCCCGCGATGCTCTTTGAACCTCCCACCTACCTCGCTACCGCCGTAAGCCCCAAGACCCAGAAGCCAAGCAGGCTCCTTACCGGCGCCACAGCCTCCACTGGGCTTCCCGACCCGCTCCACAACTGACGCCTCTGATCCAGAACCGACCATCATGCCGATCGCCCAGCCAGCCTTCTGGGAGCCTCATTCAGTGACCGTGAGCTTCCCGGTGTCAGCACTTCAACCTGCATTTACTCTAGTGCTGACATAAGAAGGAGAAGCGAATGTACTCTAATTTGTAAGCTAAATGTTGGAGATGTGAATGTAATAATGCAACCTATTATCATATATGGTGGACCTGTAAGAAAATCAAGGCATTTTGGATAAAAATTTGGTGGGTGATGCAGAATATTCTGAAAAGAAGGTTGAAATTTACTCCTCAATTGTTCCTGTTGGGTATAACTATGGACTGTACAGTATTAGAGACTAAATTGATTTTGAATCTAATATCAGCAGCTAGGCTGTTGGTAGCACAATATTGGAAGAAGGACTCTTTGCCTACTATTGAAGAGTGGATACTGAAAGTAACGAACCTAGCAGAAATGGCGAAAATCTCAGCGTACTTAAAGGACTATACACAAGAAAGATATGTATCGGAATGGAGAAGATGGATTGACTATATTCAAAATAAGTATCAGACAAGAAAATATCAAATAACTTATGAATGAACGTTAAGAATTAGAAGTATTTTGTTATCTATAGTGGAGTTAAGGTTTCAGCAGGGGAGTTAGGGTAATTAACCTAAGGATAAGTAGGTTAATCTAGTTTATGATTGTTAAATGAAACACCTTCTATTTTGCTCTGGGAAGTCTGGGGGGGAGGGTGGGACGAGGGGAGGGAAAGGGTGGGGGGAATATGGGGGGAAGAAAATTTTTGTTTTTTGTAAAACTTTTCAATAAAAAAAAAAGAAAAAAAGAAGGAGAAGCGAAGGCGTCTGGAAAGGGACGTTTGACTTTTCACCTACTTATTTTCCCTGGAGATAATATCCCCTATGAGATGAGATAGGTGTGGGGGGTATTCCTTTGAGCTGGAGTAGATTAGGGGTAGAATGACTTGGAAGATGGCCAATGAGTGCAGGGGAGTGGGGAATGGAAAGGGAGGGTTTTGGGGCTGGAAGTCAGTGTTGGCTTCGTTTGGAGTCAGGTTAGAATGTCGTGCGTAATAAATAGGAGTTTTTTTTCAAAGACCTTGTTTGAAATGCAATTTATTTGAGATGACCTCGAAACTTGACAGAAAGCCAACACTCCTTTCCAAGCCAAGCTGGCTGACCTCCAAACCTCCAGCTCCCTTCCAGATGTATGGAGTGAATGGAGACGCAGCCCGGATGTCATGGCAGAAAGTAAACTTTCCGAGGAGAGCTTAATTCAGGCATCTGGAAAAGAGCCAGTCTTGATCCCAGCCAGCTTGGATGCTACAGGACCTCAATCCTTCCCTCCTCCATCGAAGCTGCAAGGCAGCCAAGATGATCGTGCTACAACCTAAGAAGAGAAAAGATGAGTATTCGGGGGTTTTGCCAAAATCCGCAGAGGCTGGGTTTCCCTTCCCGAACGTTCAGGGAAATGGGAAATCCCTAAGTGAATTGGGGAGGGCAGACTGGCTATGGGACTAGCAGCAGGCCAGGCACCAAAAAGCTTCAGGGAAGCCACTGGAGAGCCCCATAGATGAATTGAAGGAGAAATTTGACCGTGCCATCCTTCGGAAGGAGGGGCCATCATGCAGGCCAAAGGAGAAGAGGGAGCCAGTTTGGGCTGCTGAACCGAGAGGCTGTAGACTGAAGCACAGCCCTTCCCCCCCCCCCCCCAGTAGAAGGAGAAGGAGCCCAAAGATGCATCCATGGGTTCCTCCCTTACACAGCAAGCAGAGCAGCCTGGATAGGACATCACCTCCCTACCCTAAAATGAGAGATGAGGAAGAGGACCAGCGGCACTGAGGGCAGGCTTACAGAGTCCCGCAGTGGGAGGAGAAGGCAGCAAGGGAGGACCCACCCCGTTTCAGAGGGAAGTTCGATGGTGATCCAGACCAGCTAGCGCAATTCCTCGACACAGCTGAGATCTACATCGAGTGCTATGGACACCTCTACCCATTTCCCAGAGCCCTAGTGAGTGCCATTTCAGAAGGGTTGGAGGGAGAAGCAAGGAGGTGGTCAGCAGCCCTCTACAAGAAGAGGGCCCCCAACTGCAAGACGCAGATGGGTTCTTACAACTACCAAGAGCCTGATTCGAGGTGGCACAGGGGTCACCTCCAATACTTAATCAAGTGGAAGGGTTACCCGTTGTCAGAAGCTTCCTGGGTGAAAAGCAGAAACGTCCAAGCTGACCGCCTTATAGCCAAGTTCCATGCAGATCACCCGGGCAAGGCGGGAGAGGGCGGGGTAATGGTACTTAACTTGTTGTTTGTCTTACACAGGCCAACCCTGGAAAAATGAAGGGGGAGGGGCCGGATGTCAGCACTTCAACCTGCATTTACTCTAGTGCTGACATAAGAAGGAGAAGCGAAGGCATCTGGAAAGGGACATTTGACTTTTCACCTACTTATTTTCCCTGGAGATAATATCCCCTAGGAGATGAGATGGGAAGGGGAGAATTCCTTTGAGCTGGAGTAGATTAGGGGTAGAATGACTTGGAAGATAGCCAATGAGTGTAGGGGAGTGGGGAACAGAAAGGGAGGGTTTTGGGGCTGGAAATCAGTGTTGGCTTCGTTTGGAGTCAGATTAGAATGTTGTGCTTAATAAATAGGAGTTTTTCTTCAAAGACCTTGTTTGAAATGCAATTTATTTGAGATGACCTCGAAACTTGACAGCCGAGCCTCCTGCCGATGTACAACGAGAATCCAGTGACTCAGGCCCAAATCCAGACCTCCACCGTCCAGTTCCGAGACCCCAGGGGTGAGTCCAACGTTCCCCTAGCAGGGCTGGGCCTAGCTTCAGGAGCCGCGGCTGTGAGCTCCTCACTCGATGGCTTCAAATGAAGAATGAGCGTGCATGCGCAGTACCTTCCAATTAAGAAAAAAAAATAGCAGCTTGTTTTTTTAACCTGACTGCTAACATACCAGTCCCTTACTGTGAATTTCCCCACATTCAGGACCACGGACAGCTGCCATTTGTGAGTAGCAGCTCTCATAATTCTGGGACTTTACCAAATGGTTTTCCCAAGCTACAACTGGATGGGAGGAACCTTCTGGAGTGGAACCAACAACTTCAGATCATATTCATGAGGGAGAATGTACTGTTCCTGATCTCAAGATCTCCAAAGAAACCATGGTCTTTTGAAACTGACTGCATACATCACAAAACCTACTGTCTGTTATTGGCAAGTATCGCACCTGCTATGAACCCTAGTATTGGCAATCACATGACTGTATCTGAAATAATGCAAAAACTTTATGGTTTGTTTTACAGTAAGAGCAGGGCAACCACCACCAGGATCTCAAGGGATTTTCACTCCGCCAGACTTAGGCCTGGGATATCCATGAGTGAACATCTCCTAAAACTAAATGCCACTAGAGCTGAACTGTTACAGAGGGATGAGACCATTACAGAAGAGAGTATGATGAGGATCATCATCAACTCACTAGACTCCAGCTAGGACAATTTTATCACCCAACTAGATAGCCTGAGCATAGAGAAGATCTCACTAGATAGCCTCACCAATCAATTGATCGCTGAGGACAACCTAAGAAGGGATTGCAGCCTGTCCCGCAAAGACCACAGGCCAGCCAAGAGAGTGGAATTTCAGGATAGAGTAAACAGCATACCCGAATGCTTCTTATGTGGCTCTAGAAACCACTTCAGAAGGGACCAGAGATAGAGGGTGCAACCAACGCAGGGAAAGATCTGATTCCAGACAAAGGTACCAAGGGAGACATTCACCAGACCGTAGACCCACAGGCGGACGAGGACGTAGAGGGTCCCCTAGCCCCAGACGGAAAAGAGAACACAGGGACAACTCCCGAGATAGCAACATGGATTCCGTATACAGCTTTAGAAACGGGGAGTTTATTTTCAGCCAGGAGGAGAAAGAAAACATCTGGCTCATAGATTCAGGTGCTACCAATCATACAGCCATTAATACTAAACTATTCACTTCCTTTACTGAAATGGATTTCATGATAAAGGTAGCAAACCTGAACAACACCAGGGTAGTAGGCAAAGGGAACATATTCATACCAAGGATAGGTGAAATAGAGGGGGTACTGTTCATACCTGAAATACCCTACAATGTACTGGCCACCATAAAGCTAAGCCGGGACACCAAAGTTGAGGTTATGTTTAGAGATGGCAAAGTGTTTATGTCCAATAATGGAGAAAGCATCGGAGAAGTCATAGTGAGCGGTGGCCTGCCATATTTTATACCAAACAAGGGCGACCAACAATGTATAAATGCAAACCTAACTAATGAAGGGAACACAGCAGCCCCCGAGGATGAGAGAAGGGAGAATGGTGAAACAGAGGGGGTCAATCAGACAACTGCTAAGTATGTTGATAATGGTTGTAAATTACCTAGGGATGATAAGTTTTCCATTGGGAAACCTATTCACGACAATTGCGCCCACCTCCTCCACAGAAGGTTGGGTCACATTGGTTTCCCAGTTGTCAAAAAAATGGTTGATTGTACAGAAGGTTTAAAAGTAAAAAGCTGTGAAAATTACCTCGAATGCTCTGTTTGTAAGTGTTTGAAACTTAAGATTAAGCCAAGACCAAGGAAGTCAGGACACACCACTGACTCCATTTTCCAGCTAATACATATGGACCTGGTAGGCCCACTGAAGCCCTCTATCAGATACAAAGAAAGGTTCTTTTTAACCATTGTAGATGATTTTAGCCGTTACGGTTTTCTGTAGACCATTAAGCAGAAAAACAAGGCGTTCCAGAAATTCAGAGAGTTTTACAAGAGGGTAGAGGTTCAACACAACACCAGGGTCAGGCAAATAATGACAGACCGCGGCTCTGAGTTCATGTCCAGGGATTTCTCAAAATGGTTAAAGGAACGTGGCGTGTTGTGCTTCACCACTTCCCTTTCCAGAACGGGGTGGTAGAACGCAAAAGTGGAGTCCTCCAAACTACGGTGAGATGCATTTTAGAAGATGTATGGATGGGTCAGGTTTTGGTCAGAAGCTCTCCTTTACTCCAACTACACGCTAAACAGACTATGGTCCAGCATAATTAAGACACCATATGAAATGCTGACTGGGCAGGAGACATCAAAAGCAGAAAGAGCACGTCTGGATATGTTTTCTTCCTCAACAATAGCCCCATACACTGTTATACGGGCAAACAAAAGCTAGTGGCCACTTCCACCACCGAGGTGAAGTTTGTGTGCATGTGCAAAGCCGCTAACAACCTAACCTGGTTCGACGACCTACTCTATGATGTCTGGGTAGAACTATCATATCCCATTGTCATCCATGAAGATAACAAAGCCGCCATCGAAATATCCAAGGCCGACGCTATTGGCCAAAGGTCACGCCATATAGACATTAAGTACAAACACGTCAGGCAACTTTCAGAAATTGGTTTCATCAAGGCCATCCATTGTGAAACCGAGGAACAAACAACGGACATTCTCACCAAACCACTACAATACAAACAACATACCTACCTAATGTCAAAATTATATAGGTACATGTGAAACATATATATGTATATATAGATGCTCAAGGCCTACCATCAGACATTTAGAGGGGGTTTTGTCAAATAAAATGTCTAACCCTTGTACAGATCCCTACACCATGGTTCAGCATGGGTTAACTCACTCAAACCCATCATCCCCACAACCCCACCTTACCTTTCCCTCCTCCCTCTGGGTATAAGAGTCCATCCACAAGGGCACCTCCCCCAGATCCAGTCGAATATCTGTAAGGCATAGATGTAAGGTCAGATACATATATGCTTGGGCCTATATCATACCTTCACTTACGAATAAATAAGCTATACCAGCTATTGTGTTGTACTGAGAGTTATTGGACTAGATCCTTCGATCTAACAAAGAGAATGCAATTTTATGGAGCCTTAACAAAGCAATCCGACACAGGCATGATTGTCTTCTGAAAGTTGCTGCTGATTTCAAGATGTAGATAAAAGTGCACAAAAACAGAAGTTTCATCAAATAAATAAACTCAACATCCAAAAAAAAATCTTAGACCACATGCTACATGCATACTCACTATTTTGAAAAGCCTCAAATGAAAATGACAGTTTCAAGACTGAAAATTAAGACTGAATTTTTAAAATGCATTTCTTGTCTTTCTTTTTCTGTCATGTTCTCATAATTGCTTGCTTTTTGCAACATGCTAATTTTTTTCCCCTTTTCAAAATGTTCCTCTTCATAAGCAATTTCTCTAAAATTATGAAATTCTCCTCTTTCTTTTGGCAGCTTTGTTTTTTTCTAGTTCTTTGTAGTTGTCTGTTGTAGTGTCAATGTATATTCTGCTCTGTTTGCATTAAAAGCAGCTGAACAATATAAATATGAATGATTTTTCCTTGCTTGCTTTCTTAAGAAAAGAAAAATCACATTTGCAATGAACTAAAAAAAAAACCAGATGTCCAGAATACAACAAGTTTATTACTATCAATGCATATCTTTTAATATAGGATACAAAAGAACAAGGCAGAGATTCCACATCTAAATAATGCACAGAACATGAAGAACAAAATGTTATATCTGTTAATAATTAAACCTTTAATTTTATATGCATTTCAATATTTATGAGGAAGGAGCATATTGTTACTGCTTTATAGCCTGTCTCCCTTCTGCTTCCTATTAGGAAACAATTAATTATGTTATGTTATAATAATGTAAACATAATTATGTTAATACCATATTTAGAAAACTGAGATAAAATTTGCCAAATGTTGGATTATAGTCCTCTCATCCCTGGAACTGAGGGACATTCTAATTCATAACATTTGGGTAGCTACTTATTTCACATTTCCTTTTTTATTTTTTTTATTTTTTTTAAATTTCCAATTTAGATTAACAAATGCTTTTTGGGCATCAAGGAAAACCAGTGTTTTTCCGGGTGTGATTCGTAAAACTCTAATGTATTTATTATTATTATTCTCATGTTATTTTTGATTTGTTGGCCCGGCAGAAATCCATTTTGGTCCAAGTGTATATGATTATTTAATACTTTTTTAATTCTTTCAACTATAATTACTGCAAATATCTTGTAATCTGTATTTAGCAAGGAGATTGGTCTTTAATTTTGTATTAACTGATGGTTCATATCTTCTTTGGGTATGATAGTAATTATTGCCTCTGTCCAGGTTGTCGGAATTTTTGCCTTTTCCAAAGCCTCATTATATATTCTAATATGGTTTCTCCCAGTATTTCCTGTAGGTTTTTATATAATTCCGCTGGTAGCCCATCTGGCCCCGGTGTTTTGTTGTTTTGTTGTTTTTTCAGTGCCAATTCAAATTCAAGTTTAGTTATCAGTCTGTTTAATATTTCTCTTTGTTCTTCTGTAATTGTTGCTATTTCTGATCTTTCTATATACTGTTTTACTTTTTCCTCCTCTCTTCTTGTTTGTATAAATTTGAAAAGAATGTCTGGATAATTTCCTTTTTAGCTTTTCTTCTGTATTGAATTTCTCCTTTTTCGTCTCTGAGTTGGTATATCATTTTTTTAGCTTTTCCTTTTTTCAATTTATATGTCAACCATCTGCCTGTTTTGTTTGCAAATTCGAAATACTTTTGTTTTGCCATCTTTATTTTCTGGGCTATCTCTTTTTGATTTATCAAATTTATTTTATGTTTTGTTATGTTCCATTCCTCTCTTATTTTTTTATTTTGGGGATCTTTTTGTTATTTGTATTCTGTGTTTTTTAATTCTTCATATAGTTTGTTTTGCTGTTGTCTCCTTTCTTTATTTTTCTTCCCTAAGTATGCCATCGTCAGTCCTCTTATGTATGCTTTTGTTTTATCACAAAAGTTTTGTAGGGAAGTATCCTCTCTTTTGTTTAACTTAAAAAACGAATCTAATTCCTTTTCCAGCATTTGTTTAAACCCTTTTTTTTTGCATATATTTTGATTCATTGTCCATCTCCTGAATCTTTTTTCCCGCTTCCAATTTATGAGTGTTGGGTTGTGGTCTGCCCATTCATTTACTCCAATCTCTATTGTTTCTACAACTGTCCTAATATCCGCAGTCATCGAAGCCATATCGATTCTAGACCAAGATTGGTGTGGATGAGAGTAAAATGTATATTGATTCTCGTCTTCATGAGTCTCCCTCCAAACATCTCTCAGGTTTATTTCCGTGGCCATATTGAAAAATTCTTTTGGTAATGTTTCTTTCTTTTTTTTAATTTTTCTTACCACTTTTATAATCTTTTTTGGCATCTACTATTGCATTATAATCTCCAATTAGACAGATATTTTCATATTCTAATTCTAATATTTTTTTATGTATTCCTCTAAAAAATTCCTGTTGATTTTATTTTTTTTTTTTTATTGAAAAGGTTTTCAAATACAAATTTTTCCCCCTTTTCCCCCCCCCCTCCCCCCCTCCCTAACCCCCCTCCCCACCCTTCCCCCCCTGTGACTTCTTCGTAACAAAAAAAAACCCTAATTCATAACAGATTACTTACTCCCTCCTCAAAATACTGACCTTTACTTACTAAGAGTATTATAAATCCCCCTTTATCCATACATTTCAGAAAAGAAGAAGAGAAAAAAAAAAACAAAAAAAAAAACAAACACATTATACTATAACTATTATAAAATAACTCTAATTTAGCATAATAGTGTTTTATATCTATGCATTATTGCAACAATTCAAAACCACCTTCCACTTTAAAACTATACAATAAGTCCTACTTTAATAACATTTCAAAGCGGGCTCCCCATAAAATCTAATTTAACATTTATTCCACTCTATCCATTTCCTCCACTCCCCTAAATGTATCACTTAAAAATCCCTTTTCTTAAACTAATCAATCTGTAGCTAGCTTATTCACCCACTGTCTTACAAATTTACCATACACAACAATTCTTGATATCTTTAATTCACTGCCCACACTACTTAAATATATATATATATATATATTCCATTATATCTAAATAAAAAAAGAAAAGACAATAACTTTAAATTTATAGTCCATATAATATCTTCTTGAAGTCTTTCCACTGGATTGTTAAAACCAACATCCATAATAGGGTGACATAGCTTGCGGATGCAACAGTTTATTCAAGATCTCCAATCATATCTGCCCCCATCAGTAGTAAACATCTTCTTATATATATAAAAGTAAAAACAACCACCCGAGTGACATTATAATTGTATTCCATATAATAATAATTGTGGGTTTCATCAGGATTATTAATTTCCATCATCGTATTGGGTAACAACCCGATCTTCTGCATGTCCCAATGTGATTCTCTTGCCTTATAATTCAAGATAATTATAATATATTTATCAACACAAAAAGAAGTTTCAAAGTAGATAATTCAAAACCATCAATTTGAGGCTCTTTCCATGTCCCAAAATTACGGCAATGCAGAGATCTGCCACTATCCTCAGGATGATATTGACCAATATGTCGCCTCCTCTATGTTTTCACATAATCATTCATATTTTAAAATCACTGGCTTCACTGTTGCTTGGGTTAGAAATTTCTATTTTTGTACAACCTATTTCTTTTTTTGTTTTCTTTTTGTGGGTTTGACCTCCATCCTAATTTTTTGTGTCTCGCATTTCTTTTTTATCCCTTGTATATCCTCTAATTGGTTTCCATGCTTGTCCTTGCCTTGATAAGTCATCACATTAAAATCAGATGGCACTTCTCTCAAATTTGTAGATAATCCAGCTGGGGTATCCGATAAATCCAAAGGCAATTTATCTGGTACAGTCTCTGTCTTTAGTTCCAGCTCCTTCTGCTTATCCTGTATTATATCTGAAGACGTTAAATTCATTTTCAACCTATTTTGATAAAATTCTTCCGCCCTTTCAACAGTATTTAACTGGTATCTTTCTCCTTGATATCTCAATATAATACCAACTGGGACGTCCCACCGGAATTGAATATTTCTCCTTTTTAACTCAGACACCAGAAAGCCAAATTTCTTCCTTTCCATTAATATCTTAGGTGGGAGTTCCTTGTAAATCCAAATCTTTCTTCCATACAATTGCAAATTAGAATTGAAGGAATTTTGCACAATTTTATTCCTAATTTCTTTATCTGAAAAATAGATTACCACATCTCTAGGCAATTGCCTTTGCTTGGCAGTCCAGGAGTTTATTCGATAAGCTCTATCAATCCTACAAAACACTTCCTCAGGTTGAATCTTTAAAATCCCAGCTAGAAATTCAGAAGATATTTTCCTTAAGTCATCTCTGTTATTTTCCTGCAAACCTCTAAGTCTTATTGCATATTCTGTGAAATTATATTGTATCTTTAGAACCTCTTTTTGAATCCTCTGTTCCAGATATTCTACATTACCAGACTTTTGGTCAGCATCCATTTTAAATTTTTCTTCTGAACTATAATCCTGAATATTTAACAAATCATTTTCAATTTTTTGAATTCTATTGTCCAATTTATCTTGAATTTCATCCATTTTTGACTCTAGTAAATTAGTATTTGTATCCAACCGAATCATGAATTCTGACAATTTTAAAATTTTTTGCTGCAAAAAGTCAAACTTGGATTTCACCAATTCCTTAGTTTCCTGCTTAAATTTTTCAAGTTGCTGATTCACAATCTCATCCCTTCTTTCAATCTCCTCTAAGAGAAATTCTATTATATTAAAATCAGGTTTCTGGGACTGAAGAGTTAAAACTTGTTGCTTTAAATTCTTAGTGGGGGAATCCCCCCCACCTATTTGTTTGTCTGACTTCACAAGCCTCAGTGCCATGTTTCCGCCTAAGCAGGCTTTGTTAGAAGAAGAAAAAAAAAAAAAACAAGACAAAAGACTTCCAGCCAGCAACACTCAAGCCTCCAGGGAAAAAAGAGAAAAACAAAAACAGGAGCGGAGTTTTGTCTACAAATGTAGCCAGTGGTATTTATTCCGCTACATTGTAATAATAAAAAACGGAAGAACTTTCCCTCTCAAACTCTTCTCCAGCCGCGGCAGACGCCATTTTAAAAAGAAACTTTTTTCCTCTTTCTCTTCCTCTATTCTCTTAAGTAATTTTTAAAAGATAAGTAAAATACTTGCGCTTCAGTATTACAGGTCCAGCTCACATTTTCTTTGAGTAATCTGTCAAATTCGCAGGCTTGCTTTTGACGCCTGGCTCTGCATTAGCAGAGGTCTCCCAAAGCCCGGAGCAGCGGCTGGGGATATGGGGCATCTCATCCGCTCCATCCCAAAAGTAAAAGAAAAACTTTTGGGACTCTGCAGAGAGTTCTACCCACCCCTGCCGGCTCTATCTCCGTTTCCTCATGGGAACGGAGTTTTTTCGAGCCGCCGTTCCGTTGTGAAGGCGGCTCTGACAGGCAGTGGAAGCTGACGATCCCAAAGGAACGTCTGGCGGCGGCCAGCAGCAAACAGGAAGTCACCAAATTCCTGTTGATTTTAGTTAGGGGCATATATTACTACTAAAAGTGATTTTTCCTCTCTATTTCTAACTCGACCATCATTGTTCTTCCTTCCTCGTCTGCATATATTAGTTTCAATTGTATCCTTTCTTTTACATAGACCGCTACTCTTCTCTCTCTCTCTCTCTCTCTCTCTCTCTCTCTCTCTCTCTCTCTCTTTCTCTCTCTCTCTCTTTGAATCAGAGATGTATATAGTTTTCCTAATTTGGGGTTTTCTAATAGTTTTTGGTATCCTTTTTTGAGGATACTCACTTCTTGGAGGCATATCACATCTGCTTCTGATATTCATAGTTTTGTGAATGTTTGTGTTCTTTTCTTCAGTGTGTTTAATCCATTTATATTTACCAAGAGAAGTTTGATTGCCTCTTCCATTGCCTAGTGTAACTGTTTTTTGGTGTGTCTTGTCTCCATCCGCCTTTTTGCTCTCGCACCTTCTCTTTCCTCTTGTGCTTTTTCTTGACTCTTTCTTACTTCTTTTTCTTCCTCCACTTCTTCTATTTGCTCTTCCTCCTGGCTTCTACTCTCTGTTTCTTCCTTACTTTCCTGTTCCTCTTCCTGTGTAAAATATAAGCTATAAAATTCTCTTGCTTTCTCTACTGTGTCTAGTTTGTACTTTTTGTCTTGCCATGTGATTAAAATCCCATCCGGTGTCAGCCATTTATACATTATTTTATATCTAATCAATTGGTTTGTTAAGAACTGAAAATTGTTGGTGTTGGTTTCTGATTCTTCAAGGTATTTGTTTTAAGATTATAATTTCTTTGCTCTTATATGTCAAAGTTTCTTCTCTTGATTTTCTATATACTTCATCTCTAATTGTTCATTTTGAGAATCTAACATGCACGTCCCTCGCCAATTGATGTCTTCTTATGTAATTAGTGTGTACCCTGTATATTTTATCCAACTGTCCTTTTATTTCTGACTTGTCTTTCTGTATTATTTCTAATTCTATCTCCGTCATTTTTTCTCCCAGGTCTTCATCTTTTTCTTCTATTATATTTTGAAAGCGCAAGAAATATGAAGTTTTCTCCATCTCCAGCATCGCTATTGTGTCAGACAATTCCTTATTTAGTTGAAAAGATTTTTGCTCCATTGTCTCCACTTTTGTCTCTACTTGGTCTATTTTTCTTTCCACTTTTTAAATTCTTTCTTCATTTTCTATTATTGATTGTTGGATAGCTCCAAATTTATCATTTATATTTTTAATATCCTCTTTTACTTCTCCTATTTCATTTTTGATTTCTGCATGAAACATTTTCATTTCTTCATGATTATCCGCAATTTTTTCTTGTGTTATTAATAGTGTTTCTTGAATCATCTGAAACATGTTTTGCATAGCATTTAATGTCATTTCCGGCTTTTCTTTTTCTTCTCCTATCATCTTGTCTATTGTTCTTTGCTGTAGTGGTGATGACACTTTTATTGTAGGATTTGTAGTTGGTTTTTTTTCCTATTTTTGCTATGGTGGTTTTAGTTGACATTTTTAAAGCTTGTGTGAAGTTTTCCCATACTAACATATAAATATTAATCTTTGATCCTTATTTTCTCTCTCTCCCTGTTTTCTTTCTTTCTTTTTTTTGGGGGGGGATATACTTATACTTTTTTTCTCTACCCTTTATTTATACAAAAACAGCCTTAGATACACACGCCTTTATCTTTATCTTATATACGTTTCAACTTATTCTGAATTTATCTATTTATGCAAATATACACTATAATACAACAGTATGACACTATAACAATATCACAATATAATCAGTTATTATCTTGCAATTTATCAATTATTATCAATTATTTCTTTACAATATTTTCAGTTAGTGTAGTTGTATTTAATTTAGTTTTCTTTTGCTTTTATATTCTGTAATTATAAAATTAATAAATATAAATTCACAATGCAATAATTAATTATAGCTGTAATACAATCCTTTTTTTTCTTCCCCCTTCCTTTAGTGTTTGTATATATATATTTGTATTTAGAATATATGTTTTATTTTTCTTTTTGTTGTTCTCTGACTCTTCTTCTTTCTCCAATCTTGCTTCTGGTTGTTATGGTAATTATAGTTATTTTCTATCATGCTATCACATCAGTCCTCTTTAAAGTGTTAGTCTCTCTCCTTAAGTCCGTCACCAATCATCAATTAAGTCCCACAAATTTTTCAAAAAATTCTTAAATTCTTCTTTACCTCTTAGTTTCTCCAGTTTTTCACCTTCTCCAGTTCTCTCAGTCTTGTCTCGGAGTCTTAACTCTGTCGCTGTTCCTCCTCCGGTTCTCCTGACTCACTCCCTCGGATTCTCCTTCCCTCGTGCTGATCTCTTTTTCTCTCCCTGTTGCACTTCCCTTTTAGTCCGCCGCCACTTGTTTCTCCATCTCTTTTGCACCCTCCTCACTTCGCGCTTCTCCGTGTATTCCGATTTCCTTCTTCTGGGTCTATTTCAGTCTGCCACTCGAAACTGCTTAGTTCACTCTTTGCTTCGCTCTATTCAGCCACCATCGCTCCTATCTGCCTTAGAAGTCGATTTCCTCTCCACCAGATTTTAAAGGATTTGTCCTTTTTCCTCCCAGTCGATAGCGTATCACCCAGGGGCTTCAGAACTTCCCCTTTTATTTCCAAGCTCTACGGGATTGAGTAAGAAAGTCCTAAAAGAGCTTCTGCTACAGAGTTTTTTGGGCTCCAAAAATGGTGCCCCATTTCCTCACCCTCTCCACGATGACGTCACTGCCGGAAGTCCATATTTCACATTTCCTAAGCAGGGGATATAGAAAAGAAAGGAAAAGAGCTATTCACACTTCGCTGCCATCTAGTAATCATCTGGCATTCTGCAGTCCAAAATGGTACCCTTAATATAGTAATGTTCCTGGATGACTTTCCTCATTATATCAAAGTCAAACTATATTGACTATCATAAGTGGCAAAGTGCACTTATATCTCCATGTTTCTTTTATTATTACTATTAAAACTTACTTCATAAAATGGGTATACGGGATATAATTAATTTGGGGGGGGGCAAAATATGGGAGAAATAGATACATAGACTTTTCTGCTACATCAGGATTGTGCAGCCCACAGTGCACAAACTCCCTTATCCAATTTAGCTTGACTGCAGAAATTATATGTGCTGTATTTTCCAGCAATCACCATGATTTTCTATCCTATTTTAAAATAAAAGGGGAAAGGGGAAAAAAAATCTTAGCCCCATTTTATCATACTCTTTTACTATGACATTTCTCTGTGTCCCCCACCTGCCCCCTCTCTAAGCTATCTAAAAGATGAAAAACCAGAGCTAATGTACATTGATTCTTTTAGGTCATCTATAAGCACTACTCAACTACTACCTACAGCTATTCAATCAAGTCTGGAAGGAGTAGCTGGATCATTTTAGGTTCTCTAGGTTTTTTCCCCATAAACATAAAAGGATTGAATGGCATACTCAGATTTCAATTTTACTTTCAATCACTGGGATTGCTTTGAATAATGGCAGTTATCATGAGCATCACATTTCTTTTGGCCAAGAAGTGGAAACAGTGGGAATGTTTAATATGCATGAAACAGAGGATTCCATTCTACCCACCCACCATAGGAAAAAAAATTATAAGAGGAAACAAAACTTTCCAATAAATAGTAATAAAAGCCTCCAATGAGATGAAAAGTTTTCTTTTTTAATGAAGAAGAACCAAACCAAGATGAAAAGTGCCTTGGAGTTCTCTTAAAAGATAGAAGACTTGTAATTTAGGAACAGAGTCTGGCAGTCCTTGGAGTGAAAAAAAAAGTGTGGGAACCACCAATTACATACACTGAAGACAGGGTTTTGCTAAATATAGGCCTTTCAGTATGTCTTCAACAGGCCTGTCATTTGCAAAGCTCCCAGATGGCACAATAATTAGGAGTTCTGACTTAATACAATTCAACGGAGTTAGAAGTTTATAGCAGGCATTATGTAAAAAACTATATTTGTTTCCATTTCCTGAGCTACTAGCTTTGCAATTGTACAGTGCTTTGGGAAAATGGTTTCATATTGAACATCAGATTGGTTATCCATTCAGGTAATGGGAAAATGGTTAAATTAAATGAGATTAACTGACTAAAATTCTTTTGCATCAATGTCTACAAAATTTGCTAAGGTTCAGGGGTCTAACTTTCCCTCATGTTTAAGTTAGGTACATTATAATCTCTATCTGACTCTGACTCTTTATTTCCTTCCTTCCTTCCTTCCTTCCTTCCTTCCTTCCTTCCTTCCTTCCTTCCTTCCTTCCTCTTTCTATCTCTCTCTGTCTCTTTCTGTGTATATGTGTACACACACATATGCACACATTAATAGGAGTATGGAATTTTAATTACGTCATTTCATTCTCTATAACTAGGAATATGTTTCCTGGATTATATCCTGGATGATGAATTGGAAAACTTCCAACAGTAAAGTATGTCTGTGAAGCAGGTTGGCTGGACCTTACCAATGCTGTAAAGTAGCCAATATAAAATCATTCGAATTTGATATTACAGTTGTGTAACTCTAATCATTAGGCAGAGCAGCACACCAGAAAGTTCTTAATTCTTACCGTATTCCTTGGACTGGGAATGTGACACCAGGTCCTTAAGTGAAACCAACAATTTCAACAAACAATCATTTTGAAACAGTTTAACAATCTGACATTGGTTTCAGCTCAATATTAAGGGCTTATGCCATCTTCCTGACAATATTTTTTTCTGTGGTAGAAAGTGTTTTTTTCCTTCGGGGACAAAAAGCACAAGCATTTTTTGGCAGGAAATGGATTGCAGCCTAATCCAAATATATTCAAACTGAGGGCTCTTTGTAATTGTTTGTTGAGTGTAAAAGCAGTTTGTGCATAAAACCCAGTTAAATGTATTTAGAAAAATATTTTATTCTATCTTGTTTTTAAACACAAACTATGAGATAAATAGTCTAGACTTGTTATAGCACTTTTACGTCATTAGAGAATGGTATCCCTATATAGAAATCCTTGTTTTACTGGAGAAATTTATTAATTCATTTATAATTTTTTCATCAATTTATCTTCCACCCACTTCACAGACTGTAGCTGAAAAATTCCTTTTTAAAATATTTTTATTACTGTTTATTACTTTAATTAACTTTAAGCGGTGGACTAAAAGGGAAGTGCAACAGGGAGAGAAAAAGAGATCAGCACGAGGGAAGGAGAATCCCAGGGAGTGAGTCAGCAGAACCGGAGGAGGAACAGCGACAGAGTTAAGACTCCAAGACAAGATGGAGAGAACTGGAGAAGGCGAAAAACTGGAGAAACTAAGAGGTAAAGAAGAATTTAAGAAATTTTTGAAAAAATTGTGGGACTTAATTGATGATTGGTGACGGACTTAAGGAGAGAGACTAACACTTTAAACTATAATTACCATAACAACCAGAAGCAAGATTGGAGAAGGGAAGAAGAGTCAGAGAACAACAAAAAGAAAAATAAAACATATATACAAAAATATATATACAAACACTAAAGGAAGGGGGAAGAAAAAAGGATTGTATTACAGCTATAATTAATTATTGCATTGTGAATTTATATTTATTAATTTTATAATTACAGAATATAAAAGCAAAAGAAAACTAAATTAAATACAACTACACTGACTGAAAATATTGTAAAGAACTAATTGATAATAATTGATAAGTTGCAAGATAATAACTGATTATATTGTGATATTGTTATAGTGTCATACTGTTATATTATAGTGTATACTTGCATAAATAGATAAATTCAGAATAAGTTGAAACGTATATAAGATAAAAATAAAGGTGTGTAGCAGAGTAGCAGTCTATGTAAAAGAAAGGATACAATTGAAACTAATATATGCAGACGAGGAAGGAAGAACGGTGATGGTCGAGTTAGAAATAGAAAGGAAAAATCACTTTTAGTAGTAATATATGCCCCTAACTAAAATCAACAGGAATTTTTTAGAGGAATACATTAAAAAATATTAGAATTAGAATATGAAAATATCTGTCTAATTGGAGATTATAATGCAATAGTAGATGCCAAAAAAGATTATAAAAGTGGTAAGAAAAATTAAAAAAAAGAAAGAAACATTACCAAAAGAATTTTTCAATATGGCCACGGAAATAAACCTGAGAGATGTTTGGAGGGAGACTCATGAAGACGAGAATCAATATACATTTTACTCTCATCCACACCAATCCTGATCTAGAATCGATATGGCTTCGATGACTGCGGATATTAGGACAGTTGTAGAAACAATAGAGATTGGAGTAAATGAATGGGCAGACCACAACCCAATACACATAAATTGGAAGCGGGGAAAAAGATTCAGGAGATGGACAATGAATCAAAATATATGCAAAGAAAAAGGGTTTAAACAAATGCTGGAAAAGGAATTAGATTCGTTTTTTAAGTTAAACAAAAGAGAGGATACTTCCCTACAAAACTTTTGTGATACAACAAAAGCATACATAAGAGGACTGACGATGGCATACTTAGGGAAGAAAAATAAAGAAAGGAGACAACAGCAAAACAAACTATATGAAGAATTAAAAAACACAGAATACAAATAACAAAAAGATCCCCAAAATAAAAAAATAAGAGAGGAATGGAACATAACAAAACATAAAATAAATTTCAAAGTTACTTTGTTTCGATCTGAATCTTGAGCTGAAGGCGGAAGATGGCGTTTTTGTCAGGGCTTTGACAGTGAAAGCCTGAAATGAAAGTGCTTGAGAACATTGCGCTGGGAGAGTGGATTGGCTGCCTATTAACTGCTGGGAACGGAGAGTGCGGAGGGAAGAGAACAAGGGGGAAAAAACTACTTTGGCAACTCAGAGACTTTAAATTAACATCATTAAAGACTTTGTCGTTTTCAAAGAAAAGAGGGGGGGAAGGAAAAAAAGAAAAAAAATGGCAAGTGAAACTAGGAGTTGCTAAAGGAGGGGGAGGCTCCCCAGTTGTGTCAGTGGTGACACAGAAAGCACAACTTCCGGCTGATTCACAGAGCCAGACCCAGAGTCAAGAAGCAGCACTTAATGATTTTAAGGAAGCTATGAAAGAAGCCATGAATAATCAAGCAATAGCAATGAGAGAAGCAATGAACAATTTAACTTTACTTGTTGAAGGGAAATTTAAGAAAATAGAGGAAGATATAGGTTCGATCAAGGGAGCAGTTGCAAAGGAGCATGATAAAATAAGAGATGATATCGTTTTTGCTGTATCAGGACTCAAATCTTGTTATTCAGTTTGATGGGAAAGTTGAAGAAATTAATGAAGCCAATTTAAATCTGGAGAGCAAAATGGGTGATGTCATGACTAGAACAGAGAAAGTGGATGATGAATTGGTAATGTTACAATACAGATCTATGGAGTTTGCTCTGAGACTGAAAGGCCTGAAGGAAAATAGCAAAGAAAATTTAAAAGACATTTATGCTGAGGCTATGGCTGAGATAATTAAAGAAAAACCAGAAGATGTGGCAATCCAAATTGACAAAATTTACAGGGTTAATTCCTGGTTGGCAAAACAAAGACAGCTGCCACGAGATGTGGTGATTTATTTCACATCTAGGAGGATCAGAAATGAAATTTTACAAGCTTCTTACAATAATAAAGTTCAGGTGGGTGGGCAGGAGGTGGTGGTTTTGAAAGAGATTCCTCTAAAGATGTTGAGGAACAGGAAAGACTTTGGCTTTTTGGTAAATGAGCTGAGAAATCCACAGGTGGCATATAGATGGGATGTTCCAACTGGTCTAATAGTGACTTATAAAGGAGAAAGATATCGATTAAACACAGTTTGGAAGGCAAAAGATTTTTATGTAAACGTGTTACAGGCTGGATACCCACCCTCACTGGGGGGGGGAGAAGAAAATGGAGATGATACAACAAGGAAAAGATGGAAAACAGATACAAACCTATGCTGAAGCTGCAGCTGGAGGAATTATTATGGAAGAAGATTTGGATCTTGGGGGTTTACCCCCAACTTTGGAACCACCTAAGAATGGAGAGCCGAAAACACAACGACTGACGCGAGCAACCTATAAATTGCAACAACAACAACCAAAAGGGCAACAATCTCAAGATTCATCTCAAGTAGTATAAAAAGCAGAAGCAGTGGGGGGAGCTAGGCCGAAGAGTAAGGTGGAGGAGGAGCTTCAGCTGATGCTTACAAGGCTTCGAAAGGCTAAAGATGGCAACTAAATTCCTATCTTGGAATGTTAATGGCCTAAACTCTCCACAAAAAAGAAAGAAAGTATTTCACTACTTGAAACAATTCAACAACGATGTTATTTGCTTACAAGAAACACATATTAGATTATCAGACCAAAAATATTTGATAAACTCAAGATTAGGTACAAACTTTCTGGCATCAGCGCCAGAGAAGAAAAATGGATTAGTCATATATGTAAGGAAAGGACTATCAGTTAATTTAATTGAGGCAGATGATCAAGGAAGATATATTGCAATTGAGTTATTGACACAGTCTGGAAAAATGCTTCTTATCGGAATATATGCCCGTAACCAGCAACAAGACAAGTTTTATAAATTTTTACATACTAAAATAATACAGTGGGATTATAAATCTTTTATACTAATGGGTGACTGGAATGGAGTAATTGATACGCAGAAAGATAAAAAAAGCTTATCAAAGACTTCAGCATGTGCAAAACTACTTACATCTTTTTTTGATATGATGGAAGATATAGAATTGAGAGATATCTGGAGAGAACGTAACCTGGAGGAAAAAGATTTTACCTTTTTTTCTGATAGACATCAATCCTTTTCCAGGATTGATTTTATACTAATCAGAAATGATTTTATTTCCAGGGTGAAGAAGACAAAGATATTTCCAAGAACTTTAACTGATCATAGTCCAGTCTGGATTGAATTTGAACAGGAGAGGGGAGAAAGGAGGTCTTGGAGGTTGAATGAAAACTTATTCAGATATGAAGAAAATGTAAAGGAGCTTAAAAAACAGATGAGAAAATTTTTTGTTATTAACATGAATAAGGGTACTCCTATGGAAATGGTTTGGGATGCTAGTAAGGCTTATATGAGGGGTATCTTAATACATATGAATAATAAATATAGATCAAAACAACAGAAGAAGCGTAAAGAGATAGAGGAAGAAATAAAAAAGAAAGAACAATTACTTATATCTAATCCAGGAGATAAGAAAGTAAAAGAAACAATAAACATACTACGAGGGCAATTCAATATGTTAATGGCTGATCAGGTGGCAACTAGTTTACAATATGCTAAACATAATACATTTTGTAATTCCAATAAACCAGGTAGGTGGTTGCCTTACATGTTGAGGAAAAAACAGAAAGCACGAGTCATTAGTAAGATAGAATATAGAGGTAAGGAAGTTTACCAACAGAATTTGATTAAAAAGGCTTTTTTGGAATTTTATACAAAGCTATATGCTAGTGACTCAATATAAGGTATAGATATAGATAGATATCTAAAGGAAGGGAATATGTTGGAACTAACGTTGGAACAGAGGGAAGGATTGAATCAACCAATAACTTCAGAGGAGATTGTTGCAGCAATTAAGCAGTTAAAAATAGGGAAAGCTCCAGGAACAGATGGACTAACAGCTGTTTATTATAAGAATTTACAGCTTGAAATGGTAGAGCCGCTTAAAACTCTATTTTGTAAAATTCAATCAGGGGGAGGAGTCCCACCCTCTTGGAGAACAGCTTTTGTTTCATTGATTCTGAAGGAAGATCAAAACTGTACCAAACCTGAAAATTTTAGGCCAATTTCACTTTTGAACACAGATTACAAAATTTTTGCTAAGATACTACCAAATAGACTAATGCCAGTTATGCAACAAATTATTCACAATGACCAATCAGGTTTTATAAAAGGGAGACAGATGAAATATAATGTTAGGCAAATTATAAACTTATTGGAATATTTGAAGAAAAATAATCAGGTCCCTGCAGCGTTTATATTTGTGGATGCAGAGAAAGCATTTGATCGATTGAACTGGCAATTTTTGTTTAAAATAGTAGAAAAAATGCACTTTGGGGAGTATTTCATACACTCAATTAGAGCAATATATCAGGAACAAACAGCACAAATAATAATCAATGGAGGTTTAACAGATAAGTTTAAAATTGAGAAAGGTACGAGGCAGGGTTGTCCATTGTCGCTGTTGTTGTTTATTTTAACTTTAGAAGTCTTGCTGAATAAGATACGTGATTCTGATAAAATAAAAGGAATTGTAATTAGACAGCAGGATTATAGATTAAGAGCGTTTGCAGACGACCTGGTTCTTACTTTATCTCAACCTATAGAAGTGGCTCCCTATATGTTGGATATGGTAGCTGAATATGGTAAAGTATCTGGATTCAAAGTAAATTTACACAAGACAAAGATGATAACTAAGAATTTATCTATAACTCAAAGAGAAGAGTTAGGGAGGATAACGGGGTTTGAAGTAGTTAAAAAGGTTAAGTATCTAGGCATATATATTGCAGCCTCAAATACGAAATTGTATAAAAACAATTATGAAATTCTCTGGCAAAAAGAAAGAAAGAAATGGAAAAATGGAAAAAGTTACAACTATCACTACTGGGAAGGACAGCAGCAATAAAAATGAATGTATTACCTAGGTTTTTATTTTTGTTTCAAATGATACCAGTGCTTTAAAAAGATGGAAATCTGATGGAATGGCAGAAAGGGGTTAATACTTTTATTTGGGCTGGGAAGAAACCAAGAGTAAAACTGAAAATTATACAGGATATACGTGAGAGAGGAGGCCTTAAAATGCCTAATTTAAGATTGTATTATGAAGCTGCAGCTTTATCACAAATTAGTGACTGGTTTAACTTAACTGAAGAAAGAATGTTAAATATAGAAGGTTATGATTTGTTATATGGATGGCATGCTTACTTGTTGTATGAAAAAAAAGTGGATAAAGTGTTTAAGGGTCATATACTTAGAAATGCATTGTTGAGGGTGTGGAAAAAGTACCAATATAAGCTGAATTACAAGATACCTATATGGGCAAACCCCAGACATGTAATAGAAAATATAAGTGCAGAGCAAAGAATAGAAGTGATTACTTATAAAGAGCTTCTTCTTTTGGAAAGGGGTAAGTTGCAATTGAAATCTCTAGAGGAATTAAAAGAAGAAGGGATAATTTTTACTTGGTTTCAGTATGGTCAGCTCCAAGCTAGATGGAGGGAGGATCAAAAAATTGGGGTTATGCAAAATGAGGAAAATTTGGTGAAACAGATTAGAGATCAAAGTCAGATGCATATTAAAAGGTTGTATAATGCATTACTGGAAATAGACTCAGAAACTGAATTGGTTAAAGATTGTATGATTAAATGGGCACAAAATTTTCAGGAACCAGTGATGATGGAAACGTGGGAAAAGATTTGGGTCAGAAATGTTAAATTTACGCAAGCACAAAATTTGAGAGAGAATTTTTATAAAATGTTTTATAGATGGCACTTAGATCCTAAGAAATTATCATGTATGTACTCGAATTTGCAAGCTAAATATTGGAGATGTGAATGTAATGATGCAACCTATTATCATATATGGTGGACCTGTAAGAAAATCAAGGCATTTTGAATAAAAATTTGGTGGGTGATGCAGAACATTTTGAAAAGAAGGTTGAAATTTACTCCTCAATTGTTTCTATTGGATATAACTACAGACTGTACAGTTTCAGAGACTAAATTGATTTTGAACTTAATATCAGCAGCTAGGCTGCTGGTAGCTCAATATTGGAAGAAAGACTCTTTGCCTACTATTGAAGAGTGGACATTGAAAGTAACAAACCTAGCAGAAATGGCGAAAATCTCGGCGTACTTGAAGGACCACACGCAAGAAAGATACGTATCGGAATAGAGAAGATGGATTGATTATATTCAAAATAAGTATCAGACAAGAAAATATCAAATAGCTTATGAATGACTGTTAGTATTAGAAGTATTTGGTTATTGGTAGTAGAGTTAAGGTTTCAGTGGGGGAGGTTGTCAAGTGTAAATGCCTCGCTTTATATAAACTAAAGCTATATCATAAGATAAGCAAGGGTTAATATACATTCTCCTCCCATTCTCCTCCTATCAATGATAGGTCAATACTTACCATTAGCCCCGCCCATCCTGTATATAAGACCACCTCCAACTGTCATAACTGATCTTTCTGAATGTATTCTGTGAAAGTAAGGAACATATATTAATAAATGAATTTATTTAATAATAATGAGCCTATGTCTATTAAATGAGCCATATCTTCAAAATTAGTGACAAATTGGTAACAAGAGGATGGTTAAATGGCTCAATAAGAAAATAGACATATAAAAACTAAATTCTTCAAATGAAGAAAAAGAAGAAAAAGAAGCAGAGATAAAGCCATCTCTGTTCAAAAAGCCTCAAACTGAAAAACGACAAGAAAAAATATAAAGTACATGATGGAAGATGAAGAAACAACTCATAGCCTAAACAAACAAAAAATGAATAGGAGTAAAAATAATAGCCTAAGGCTGAAAATACTGAATTTAATAAAATCAAAAAGTGATGATGAAGACCTCACCATGGACCTCCAAGAAATAATAAAAAATAACGGAGCAGCGGGAAGAAATTATAACAATACACAAAATACAGCAAACTACGAAGCAGAAAAAGATCTACTCCAAACTGACATTCTAACTGAAACTAACGGTCCTGTAAAAAAACTTGAATGGCGGCCATCTTCAAAAAATCAGCCCGACAAAATGGACGACCAATCACTATCGAGAAACAAAAATCCAAAATGGATGACACGGAAAATTTATTACAATAAAAAATTTCAAAATGAACAAAATTGGTCTGAAGGATCTGATTCCGAATCAGAAACCCTTCCCACTGAATTGCAAATTGAAGAGGCTATGAAAACCCTCTTCGACGCTTTCGGACCTGAACTAATCATATCTAAGGGGTCTTAAAAATCATCTAAAGAAAAGAAAAAGGAACAAATAACAAACCAATCGCAAGAAAGAGAACCTAAAGAAAAAAATAAAAACACCTCAATACATCTCAGAATCCACCCCCTATCAACTACCAGAACTGCGCATACCAGAACCCAGAGGTAACTGTAAATACTCACCTACACCACAAACGTTCCTGAGAGACAGAAATCTGCATTCGGGCATCGAGGCAGAAGGAGTGTCTTCAGCGCAATGGTGGACCCTTGGGAGCGAAATTGAGGCCTGCCCATCCGACGGAGACCACTACGAGGGAGCTGCAACAACAAGGTCCTTCTCCGAAGCCTTCAGGAACAAAATGAGCTTCGCGCATGCGCAAACGTCACTAGATGAATATAGAAGCAAGTGGATACAGAGTGAACCTCCCAAGCTAATTGCTAGTATCCCTGTGCCTTTTTGCTGTTACCAGCATCTTCAGCACCACGGACAGACGCCTGTTGTAAGTAACATAGCTAACAACACAGAAAATTTGCCAAATGATTTTCCAAAGCTAAGGATGGATGGAATTAATTTATTGGAATGGATCCAACAGCTTCAAGTTGTCTTTCTAAAAGAAAATTTACTGTTCTTTATTACTAATCCACCTAAAAAACCATGGACACTAGAAATTGACAATTTACACCACAGAGCATTTTATCTATTAATTTCTAGTATCTCACCAACTATATATCATAGTGTAAAACATAATTTGACTGTATCTGAACTTGTACAAAGTATGTTTAAACTATTCCATAGTGAAAGTGTAGCAACAACTACAAGAATATCCAAAAATTTCTTTTCTGCTAGAGTTAAGCCTGGTATCACCATAAGTGAACATCTATTGTCATTGAATGCAACTAGAGCTGAGCTACATATGAGGGGGGAAATTGTGTCAGACCAAACTATGAACAGTGTTATTATTAATTCTTTAGATCCATCATGGGACAATTTCATATCACATTTAGACACAGTAAATTTAGGATATTTATCTATTGAAAATCTATCCAATAGATTAATTGCAGAAGATAACTTGAGAAAAAGTCGTAGTAGAGAACAAAGGCCTATAAATAGAGTGGTATTTCAAGACAAAAGACAAAACACCATGGAGTGTTATAATTGTGGATCCAGGGGACACTGTAAGAGGGATTGCCCTAAAATTCAAAGAGAGAATTATAAATACGACCCCAGAAATAGATATGATGATAGACAATACTTAGGGGATAGGTACAGGCGTAGGAGTTCCCCAAGTCCAAAAGACATGAATAGACGTAAAGATGACTCCAGGGATAACAAACATAGATCATTATATGGGATAGAAAAACAAACAAAAACAATGAATCAGAACATGACAGACTACATGTGGCTCATTGATTCTGGAGCCACCAATCATACAACCAATAATAAGGAACTTCTATCATCCTTCACTGAAGAATTTTTTTTAATAAAAGTAGCCAACCAAAATGAAGTACAAGTAACAGGAAAAGGGAATATAAATCTACCAGGGATAGGGAGAATAGAGGGGGTACTATTAATACCAATGATGCCTCACAACATACTCAGCGCTATCAAACTCAGTAAGGAATCAGACATAAAAATAACATTCAAAGGAGGGAAAATTATATTAGAAAAAGACAAAGAAATCATAGGCAGAATTGTAATCAAAAGGGGTTTACCTTACTTATGCACAGATGATAATGAGTCTCACAGTGTAAACAGAAACATAGAGCAAGACACAGATATAGTAATAAAGGAAGACAAAATCAACTCAAGACACATTAATAAAGACAAGTCAATACATGATATCACATCCAGGAAACCCTTAATAGGAAAGCCTATACATGATGATTATGCCCATATGCTACACAGAAAATTGGGGCATGCCAGTTTTCCTGTTGTCCAAAAAATGACTGAACATGCAGAAGGTGTTAAAATAAATGATTGTGAAAATTATTTGGAATGTTCAGTGTGTAAATGCTCAAAACTAAAAACAAAATCAAGACCAAAAAAGGCATCTAGAACTACCAGTCATATTTTCAATTTGGTACATATGGATTTAGTAGGGCCATTAACACCATCAATAAAATACAAAAAACGATTCTTCCTTACTATCGTAGACGACTACAGTCGTTACGACTTTGTATATACCCTAAGGCACAAAAGTGAAACATTTCAAAAATTCAAAGAATTCCATAAAATGGTAGAGACACAACATAACATACAGATAAAACAAATTATGACAGACAGAGGTTCAGAATTCATGTCAAAAGAATTCACACATTGGCTTAGGTCAAAGGGAATGTTACACTTCAAATCAAGTCCGTTCTCAGCCTTTCAAAATGGGGTTATAGAACGACGAAATTCTACTCTACAAACCATGATTAGATGTTTTTTGGAGGATGCAGGGATAGGTAGACATTTCTGGACAGAAGCACTTGTATACTCTAATTACACAATTAACCGGCTTTGGTCTAGTGTCATAAACAAGACTCCATATGAAATAATGTATAATAAGAAGCCACAGATAGCACATCTGCATGTGTTTGGAGTCACTGCTGATGTACATATTCCAAAACAATTAAGACGTAAAGGAGACAAAATATCTAGAAGACTAAGGTTCATGGGTTATGAACCAGGTACTAAAGGATACAAATTCATAGATAGTAATAACAACTTCATAGTATCCAGAACTGCGGTATTTCATGAACAGGCAAACTGGTCCAAAATACATCTTAACGAGATAAGAAAAAATATAGAAACAAAACACAATAAACTCGATATATCAGAAAATGGAAAAAATTCATACATACATCAAAGATATAAAGATATAACAAAAGGAAATGTAAAAAAGATTATAATAAAATCAAGATAGATTCACTCACTCAGAGAGAAGTAAAACACTTACATGATATTAACAGCATTCCAGATAGACCAATTAGAAATAATAGAAAACAATTGCCAAATAAATTTAAAGATTATGTAATGCATGTACAATCCAACACAATTACACCAAATAACTATGATGACGTATTGAAACTACCACACGAAGAAAGAATTAAATGGGAATTAGCTATGTCCAAAGAAATGAACAGTCTAAAAGAATTAAATGTGTTTACACCTGCTGACGTACCAAACAATAAAACACCCATAGGTACTAGGTGGATTTTTAAAATCAAAACACTAGAAGGAGGAAAGAACTTATACAAAGCAAGACTGGTAGCCCAGGGATTCTCCCAGAAGTACCCTGAGGATTATACCGATACTTATTCTGGATAGGGACTCCCTACGCACGGTCACTCAAGCACTCGTCACTTCCCGCCTGGACTACTGCAATGCTCTCTACATGGGGCTCCCCTTGGGGTGCACCCGGAGGCTGCAGTTGGTCCAGAATGCGGCCGCACGGGGGATTATGGGAGCGACGGGCGCTCCCACGTGACACCTCTCCTGCGCAAGCTGCACTGGCTTCCTGTGGTCTTCCGGGTGCGCTTCAAGGTGTTGGTGACCACCTTTAAAGTGCTCCATGGCTTAGGGCCGGGGTATTTGCGAGACCGCCTTCTGCCGCCAATAGCCTCCCACTGGCCGGTTCGCTCACACAGAGAGGACCTCCTCAGGGTGCCGTTGGCCAGACAGTGCCGGCTGGCGACCCCCAGGGGGAGAGCCTTCTCTGTGGCGGCACCAGCCCTCTGGAATGACCTACCCCCTGAGATACGCACGATATCAGACCTCCAGACTTTTCGTCGGGCCCTGAAAACACACTTATTCCATCTAGCCGGGCTGGCTTGATCCCATCCTCTCAGTTTTAATTGATTCGGTTTTAATTGGGTTGTTTTAAATTATTTGGGCCAAAATTATTTAATTGTTTTTAATTTGTTTTTAAATTTTGTATACTATGTATTATTTTGGCTGTGCACCGCCCTGAGTCCTGCGGGAGAAGGGCGGTATAAAAATAAAAATAAATAAATAAATAAATAAATAAATTTCTCCTACTGTAAGAATAGAAAGCGTAAAAATAGCATTAATGATAGCTTCAATACTAAAACTAGAGGTTTATCAATATGATGTACAAACCACATACTTACACACAAATTTAGACAAGGAAATTTATGTAAGGGCACCACACAGTAAAGATACTAACAAAAATGACACATGGTTGCTCAATAAAAGTTTAAAACAATCGGGAAAACGATGGTATGAATGCTTAGTCAAAGTACTCAAAGATATAGGATTTACAGCAACATCAGCAGATAGCTGTTTCTTTATTAGAAAGGAGGATGAATCACTAGAATATGTATTAATTTACGTAGATGATATTCTGTATATTGGCAAGGACATAGATAAACGAAATGCATTTGCTATTGCAATAGAGAAACATTTCTCACTAAAGTCTCTGGGTAAAATAAATAAATATTTAGGGGTACAAGTATATAAAACAGAAAAGGGCTTCTGTCTATCACAAAAAGAAAAAATTGTTGAACTTTTACATAAATGTAATATGATTAATGCTAAAGGCTGTGAAACTCCTATGCAAACTGACTTTCTAAAAAGTATGAACGATCCATTTTCTGATTTTAAAGATAACACATTGTACAGGTCAATCATTGGTTCTCTTCTATACATCGTGAATTGGACCAGACCAGATATTGCATTGCCTCTCAACTTATTATCAAGACAAGTAAGCAAACCTACGACCTTCCATTGGGAAGCAATAAAGAAAGTACTCAGAAATCTAAAAAACAGCGTGGATTTTTGTCTATATTTAGAACCAGACTCTTTCAAAATACCCACACTCAATTGCTATGTGGATGCTGATTGGGCAGGAGACACAAAAACTAGAAAGAGTACATCTGGATACATATTCTTTCTCAATAACTGTCCAATTTGTTGGTATACAGGTAAACAAGACTTAGTAGCAACTTCAACAACCGAAGCTGAATATATTTGCCTTTCCAAGGCTTCAAATAACCTTGTTTGGATCAATTACTTAATAATCAATATCTGGATGAACCCGTCATTACCAATAATTATACATGAGGATAACAAGGCAGTAATTGAGATATCAAGATCAGATGCCATTGGACAAAGATCTAGACATATAGATATAAAGAATAAACACGTAAGACAGCTTTCTAAAGATGGCTTCGTTAAAACAATACATTGTTATACGAAAGACCAAATAGCTGACATATTAACAAAACCTTTACAGGTTAAACAACATGTATTTTTAGTAGAAAAGTTATGTGTTAAGATGTATTCTATTCCTAAATATTTTATTGATAATAATAATGCTCGGCATTTAGAGGGGGATTTGTCAAGTGTAAATGCCTTGCTTTATATAAACTAAAGCTATATCATAAGATAAGCAAGGGTTAATATACATTCTCCTTCCTCTAAATCAATGATAGGTCAATACTTACCGTTAGCCCCGCCCATCCTGTATATAAGACCACCTCCAACTGTCATAACTGATCTTTCTGAATATTCTGTGAAAGTAAGGAACATATATTAATAAATGAATTTATTTAATTATAACGAGCCTATGTCTATTAAATGAGCCATATCTTCAAAATTAGTGACAGAGGTAGTACTTTGAGGACAAGTAGATTAATCTAGTTTATGTTTGACTAAATGAAATACCTGTCAGCGTTCCAAATTAGGCTCTCTTCCAGCGCTGACATGAACAAGATGAAGCATAGAGCAGAAGCTTGATTTATTGCTGAGATGAACTTTTACCTAGTTTTTTGAATGTTACAGATAGTGTTTCCTGGGTGACGAGGGTGGGGGCCACATTCCTGTGAAAAAAACGTGCCGGGATGTAGAGATGGATCTGCATGATGGCCAATGGGACATTGGGGTTGGAGAGCGGAAGAGGAGGGGGTTGGAAGGAGCGGCCAGTTTGGCTGCAACTTGAATCAGGAATGTCGGATTCTGCTATTCTTAAAAATAAAAGTGATTCATTAGAGACTTTGCACTTGAGAATGAAGTTTATTTAAGATAGTCCCGAAACTTGACAGACAGCCAAACTCTCCTCCAAATCCAGGCTGGCTGAGTTTAAATCATCCCGTTCCCTCCCATACATCTGGTCGGACGGACTATGGCTGAAGCCAAGCTCTCGGAGGAAAGCCTGCTTCAAGAAACGGGAGGAGCAGAAGCGGTCGTGATCCCAGCCAACTTGGAAAATACAAAGGTTCAACTTTCTCCGCCTTCCCTCCCCACAGAACTTCAAGCAAAGAAACGTGAGCCAGATAAGTACCCGGGGACTGTGCCAAAAGCCTTAGAGGCGGAATTTCCTTTTGGAAATGTAAAAGATAAAGAAAAACCCCTAAGTGAATTGGGAAGGGCGAGCTGGGGATGGGAATGGCAGCAAAGCCCAGACAAGGCAGCACCTCCCTATCCCAGGATGAGAGACGAGGCAGAGGACTATCAACACCAAGGCCGGCCCTCCAGAGCTCAGCACAGAGAGGAGAGGGCAGAGAGGGAGGAGCCACCCCAGTTCAGAGGGAAGTTCGACGGTGACCCAGACAACCTCGTCCAATTCCTCGATTCAGCTGAGATATACATAGAGCGTTTTGGACACCTTTACCCTTTCCCCAGAGCCCTAGTGAATGCCATTTCGGAAGGGCTGGAGGGAGAAGCAAAGAGATGGTCAGCATCCCTCTATAAAAACAGGGGCCCCCAGCTGCAAGATACGGATGGGTTCTTGCAACTATTGAGAGCCCGTTATGAGGAGGAGGAGGATGACCCCTATGTGGAAGACAAGCTCAGAAACCTAATGCAGAAGGGGAAGCCCATCAAAGAGCATATCCGTGAATTCAGGAGAGTCATTGGGACCCTGCCTACCCTGCCAGAGCGATTGCTGGTGTATTTTTTTAGAACAAGCCTAGATAAGAGAATTTCCCAAGTGACTGCTTATCGTGACATCCCAAACCGACTCTCTGAATGGTTCCGGGTAGCGATAAAAGTCGACAGAGGGTTGCGGGCGAGCGACACGCCGAAACCACCAGAGGGAAAGGAGAGAGGTTGATCAGACCAGGGGCCACTCAACAGACGAGAAACCCCAACATCATAGCCCTCCTACAGACCAACTGCCCCACGGAGCCCACTGAAATGCTACAGATGTGGAGGAAGCGGCCACATAGCAGCAAGATGTGGAACGCCTAGACCGGGACCAGCTCCACCGCCCAAAGCACGACCGGAACGAGGGCCCAAGCGCGTCACCCACGTACCGCGGGAAGCTCCCCAAATCCCGGAGTTTTTCGCTCATCTGACTGAAACCAGAGGAATCCCAGAAGAAGGAGATCAGTCTCCCGAACCCTATGACACGGAGGACGAAGGCGAGGATGACCCGATGGTGAGTGGACCTGTCCATCCTTTTCTTTTCCCCATACGCCTAACAGCCCCCAAAACAGGGGCCCAAGAGACTTTCCAAGCCCTAATAGACTCGGGTAGCACACGGTGCCTAATCAACCTACCCACAGTTCTAAAATTGGGAATCCGAGCTAAACAGCTCAAACAACCAATTCGCTTCAAGCAAGTTGATGGGTCCCTAGTGGGAGGAGCGTACGCCACACACTTGACTGAACCCGTGAGACTAGAACTCGCAGATCACTGGGAGACGATCCGCTTCATAATAGCCCCCAAGATGACAGAACCAGTCATATTGGGACTCTCATGGCTCAACAAATGGGGCCCGATCATTTGGTGGCAAGAGGGAACCCGCAGGCTGAGAATAGCAAAGGGGCCCCAACCCCTGCCGCCCCAACCAGAAGAATTCCCTCCCACCCTGAAACCCCAAAGCAGCCCTCCACTACAGAAGAAAACACCACCAACACAAGGGTCCCTCCCAGAAGGTGCAGCAAAGCAATTGGCAACCGCATCCACCACCGCTTGTAATGCAAACTAGATCCCAAGGGAGTACCAAGACCTTGCAGGGGTATTCAGCGAGGCCGAGTGTGACATTCTGCCCCCCCACCGCGAGACCGATTGTGCCATCGAGATTATCCCAGGAGCAAAACTACCCAAACCTAAAATGTATGCCATGATGCCCCGAGAAATGCAGGAAATGCAGGACTACATAGACAAAAACTTACAAAGGGGATTTATTGAGCCACGTGAACCCCCTGGGCCCCTGGTTGTTGGGGGCCAAATGCACTACGAAGTGCAGCGGATTCTTGATTCAAGATGGCACAGGGGGCGCCTTCAGTACTTAATTAAATGGAAGGGTTACCCATTGTCAGAGGCTTCCTGGGTGAAGAGCGCAAACATTCAAGCTGAACGCCTTATAGCAAAATTCCATGCAGACCACCTGGGAAAGCCAGGAGGGGGGGTGCACAGCCAAGGAGGGGCTGATGAGACTAATCTTGTTGTGTTTTTCCCAATGGGATAGGTGATGTCGCAGAAGTGAAGGGAGAGGGGCCGGATATCAGCGTTCCAAATTAGGCTCTCTTCCAGCGCTGACATGAACAAGATGAAGCATAGAGCAGAAGCTTGATTTATTGCTGAGATGAACTTTTACCTAGTTTTTTGAATGTTACAGATAGTGTTTCCTGGGTGACGAGGGTGGGGGCCACATTCCTGTGAAAAGAACGTGCCGGGATGTAGAGATGGATCTGCATGATGGCCAATGGGACATTGGGGTTGGAGAGCGGAAGAGGAGGGGGTTGGAAGGAGGGGCCAGTTTGGCTGCAACTTGAATCAGGAATGTCGGATTCTGCTATTCTTAAAAATAAAAGTGATTCATTAGAGACTTTGCGCTTGAGAATGAAGTTTATTTAAGATAGCCCCGAAACTTGACAGAACCTTGTATTTTGCTCTGGGAAGTCGGGGGGGAGGGGGGATGAAGGGGGGCAAAGGGTGGGGGGAACAGGGGGGGGGAAATTCTTTCTTTTTTGTAAAACTTTTCAATAATAATAATAAAAAACATAAAATAAATTTGATAAATCAAAAAGAAATAGCCCAGAAAATAAAGATGGCAAAACAAAACTATTTCGAATTTGCGAACAAAACAGGCAAATGGTTGGCATATAAATTGAAAAAAGAAAAAGCTAAAAAAATGATATACCAACTCAGAGACGAAAAAGGAGAAATTCAATACAGAACAGAAGCTAAAAAGGAAATTATCCTGACATTCTTTTCAAACTTATACAAACAAGAAGAGGAGAGGAGGAAAAAGTAAAACAGTATATAGAAAGATCAGAAATAGCAACAATTACAGAAGAACAAAGAGAAATATTAAACAGACTGATAACTAAACTTGAATTTGAATTGGCACTGAAAAAACAACAAAACAACAAAACACCGGGGCCAGATGGGCTACCAGCGGAATTATATAAAAACCTACAGGAAATACTGGGAGAAACCATATTAGAATATATAATGAGGCTTTGGAAAAGGCAAAAATTCCGACACCCTGGACAGAGGCAATAATTACTATCATACCCAAAGAAGATATGGACTATCAGTTAATACAAAATTACAAACCAATCTCCTTGCTAAATACAGATTACAAGATATTTGCAGTAATTATAGTTGAAAGAATTTAAAAAGTATTAAATAATCATATACACTTGGACCAAAATGGATTTCTGCTGGGCCAACAAATCAAAAATAACATGAGAATAATAATAAATACATTAGAGTTTTACGAATCACACCCGGAAAAACACTGGTTTTCCTTGATGCCCAAAAAGCATTTGATAATCTAAATTGGAAATTAAAAAAATAAAAAAATAAAAAAGGAAATGTGAAATATGTAGCTACTCAAATGTTATGAATTAGAATGTCCCTCAGTTCCAGGGATTATAGGACTATGATCCAACATTTGGCAAATTTTATCTCAGTTTTCTAAATATGGCCATAACATAATTATGTTTACATTATTATAACATAACATAATTAATTGTTTCCTAATAGGAAGCAGAAGGGAGACAGGCTATAAAGCAGTAACAATATGCTCCTTCCTCATAAATATTGAAATGCATATAAAATTAAAGGTTTAATTATTAACAGATATAACATTTTGTTCTTCATGTTCCGTGCATTATTTAGATGTGGAATCTCTGCCTTGTTCTTTTGTATCCTATATTAAAAGATATGCATTGATAGTAATAAACTTGTTGTATTCTGGACATCTGGTTTTTTTTTTTAGTTCATTGCAAATGTGATTTTTCTTTTCTTAAGAAAGCAAGCAAGGAAAAATCATTCATATTTATATTGTTCAGCTGCTTTTAATGCAAACAGAGCAGAATATACATTGACACTACAACAGACAACTACAAAGAACTAGAAAAAAACAAAGCTGCCAAAAGAAAGAGGAGAATTTCATAATTTTAGAGAAATTGCTTATGAAGAGGAACATTTTGAAAAGGGGGGAAAAATTAGCATGTTGCAAAAAGCAAGCAATTATGAGAACATGACAGAAAAAGAAAGACAAGAAATGCATTTTAAAAATTCAGTCTTAATTTTCAGTCTTGAAACTGTCATT